ATAATTAGAGTGATCAATAAATGCAAATTTTAAAGCATAATATAGGTTTTAAAGGATTAAAATATGATGTATGTATTCTACGATAGGTATATTTTTATGTACTTATCATTTTCATACTTTTCATAGCATAATTCTATAAAATATTAATTTTAAGTTGATTGATTTTCTTTTGAAGAATTATAAAAAATGGCTAAAATCTTTAAAGAAAAAAAAAGTAAGCACTCTTGGAAAAAAAGCTAGGAAATTAGGGCAAAATTAGGCAAATAATACAGACGAATAATTAATTAGTAAAATAAGATTCCCTCAAATTTATTTTGAGATTTAGATCATTTGTTACAGTGCACGTGAAACTCGTCACGTGGAGGTGATGAATTTTATAAAATATATTAAAAAAAGAACTCGCCATATCAAATGATCAAAATTGTGTGGAACTCATTACCCCACGTGACAAGTGCTAAACCTGTCACCTTCATGTGACGAGTTTCACGTGCACGATAGGAAATGACCTAGATTTCAAAATAATTCTCAACTACCCTTAATTTCCAAAACAAAAATTCTACTTGTATTATTTGTTTGATTTTGCCGGGAGATTTGTGGCTCTCGGTAGTCTTTTAATAAATTAGTCATCTTTTGTGATTTGTTTACCGATACAATCAATATCTATTTTTTTGTTTAATTCTTTTGGTTGAGTTTTTAACATTGTCCATGTTTGGTTTTTATATGATTTAAAGTGACTAATTTCAATGCTATAGGAAAATGTCTAAATTATATATTTAGTTTACGATGATAATTGTAAACCCTTATTGTAATTTTGTATATTTTCATTTTTTAATAAGACTTGCTACTTATATTAAAAAATATATATATTAATTTTACGCTGATTGAATTTCTTTTAAAAAATTATAAAAATGGCTAAAATCTTTAAAGAAAAAAGTAAGAACGCTTGGGGAAAAAACTGGGAAATTGGTGGCATTAGAATATTTGATAAATTCAAATTCAGAAGGAAAAAAAAACAATAAAAGGACGAAGAAGAAAACAATGGGTAAGTCAAGGGGTCATTAAAGTGATAACGAAAATTGAAGAGGCCAAAACGGAAAACAAAAAAAGACATAATTACAGGGGCTCCCGACCAAAAAATTCCCATGATCTAGCCCACTAGGCGACATTCGAAAAAATCGACCGTTGGGCCCGTCCTCAGACAACAACGGTTAATATTCAAAAACCTTAAACTAGATATAACTCCTCCTCTCTTTCCTTGAAAATAACAGAGCAAAACATCTGAAAAACAAAGAAAATTCTTCTCAGCGATGGGGTGTGTTTCTTCAAAACACGTCAAGAAAGAGATCAAAAGTGAAATTCTTCCCGACAATGGAGGCGACTACACTAACCATGTGGTTTCTCTCAAATCGAGCACGTACGGGGTCCTTCAACTCGACAGAGATGAAGAACTGCAGCAACAAATAGAAGAAGATGGTTTTCCAGAGATCAAGAGAGTTAAGAAATCGCCTCCTCGTGAAGAACCAGAGGTAATCAATGCCTTGGAACTCATGGAAGATCTCGATGAAGGTAGATTCGTTAAAATGAGTCCGAAATCTCATGTTTTCGTAAAGGAAAAAGGTATAAAGAAGTCCACTCAAGTTCTTGAATCAGATCGGTTCTCCATTGAAAGTGAAGAAGTATGGTGGGAAAGAGAACAAGGGAAGCCCGAAATCGATACTGGGAGTAAATAATTCCATGGATAGTTCGTGTAAAGCAGTGTTGAAGTTGAGTTATCCGGTTAAAAGCACCAGGAATGAAGGGGTTCAAGGTGGGGATTTGGGGTTTTCTTCAAGGAGGAGAGTGTTTAGCCCCTTGTTTGATCCTGAGGTTGTCGCTTTGCACGAAAAAGAGTCGTCCGGAGTAGAGGAACAAATCAAGATGATAATTTCGCCCGAACCCGAAACCCGAAAATTGAAGAAATCTCACGACTCAAAGGCCCTTCTTCAAGATTTCGAGCCAAAATGCCTTGCAGGTGGAGAAAATGCAGTTGTGGTGTACACTACAACATTGAGAGGGATTAGAAAGACCTTTGAGGAATGCAACACGGTGAGATCCATCATCGAATCCTACCATATCCAAACGTTCGAGCGCGATATATCGATGGATTCGGGGTTTAAAGAAGAGTTGAGGAAGCTAACAGGCACAAAAGAAGTGAAAGTTCCTCTAGTATTTGTTAAAGGAAGGTTGATTGGGGGAGTGGAAGAGATTGTAAAGTTAGAAGAGGAAGGGAAGCTCGAAATCTTATTCGAAGGGATCCCCATGGCGGTACCCGGATGTAAAGGTTGTGGAGGTGTGAGATTTGTGATGTGTAAACAATGCAATGGGAGCTGCAAAGTTTTAGATAAGGAACAGAAGAAGATAAGGTGTGGTGAGTGCAATGAAAACGGATTGATACAATGTCCTATTTGTTGTTGATACAGTAGAATGCGGTATTTCCATTAGATGATTGGTATTTCATCTGTTCTCAAGCTGTGCCTGTAACAATGATATCTTGAAGAACCATTTTTTTTCTTATTTGGGAAGTGGGGCTCTAAAGTGGGTTTTAGGCCTTGATTGTAAAAGATTGATTGTTTTGTTGTTTATTGAATGATATGGTTTGCCTTGATTGTGTGCTTTACACAAACCTTGCATGACACCATTTGATCCACTGTTGTTGCTGTATGCATGCATATACAAAGAGTTCGAGCTAATGACAGATTCTGAATTCCGGCACTTAGAACAAGTGCATGATATGTGACTGTGACCATAAGCATGTGCTTCACAATGACTTGTACTCGTTCAGATTAGGTTCAAGTGTGGCAAAAGTCATATGAACTCCATTAGATATCTTAGAAAGTTATTGACAAAGATAAGCTATTACAAAAACAATCATGGAATCACCTAAATTTCACTAGGAAAAAAAAAAGCATGTATAAACACATTATACATCAAGCATTAGGGTTATCATACTACATATCGTGTATCCTTACCGACTACTGAATTTGAAGGAGGGGGAATGAGTAAGCTGAAGCTGCAACGCAACATAACAGTCGCATGATTACCGTGACATCACAATCGCGTTTGTAATTTAAAAAGCATAGTTATATTTTAGTAAACAAATCACATCGTACATCCACAACATCTACAACTAAGACACTACAACCGCAACCGTGATCACAACTGTAATTTAATACACTAAGAACGATTGAAGAACCTTTTATCCTCCACGATGTTTCCCTAAAATATTTTAAAAGTCCATAAACACCTTGTCGTCTTACTTGAGTCATACGACAATTACAAAATTATACAATTTTTTATTTTATGTTTATTGAATGGATTATTTTTTTATATACATCATGTTTAAAAATTAATTTATATAATGACTATATTAGTTTCATTTGTTTTATGTGTAGAGTTTTAGGATTTAAGGTTTAGAGTTTAGGGTTTAAAGGTTGAAATTTAGGATTTAAATTATATGATTTTAGATATTAGATTTTAGTATTAAAATAGACATAGTTGTGTAAACTATATTTTACACCGGCCGTGTATCAAATAATTTCTCTTATTAAAATTGATTTTTTTTAGAAAAGAGATAATTTGGTGTTAATGAGTGTATTATATTCTCTATAAGCTTACAAGTATGATAGCTTATAAGAAAATATGATGAATAAATTAACTTAATTTTTAGTATTAACCTAATCCAAGTTAAACTCCTTCAACATTTACACTTTTCCCGGTTGAATATTAAGTAAACGTCAAAGCATCCAAACTATAAAAGCCTCATTTGGAAGAACTTAACATTTCTTGCCGCCAACGATTCTCAAAGAAGAAGCCATTCCGTGACAAAGTCTGGTTCAGTTGGAATCAAGGGAATCAAAAGGGAGCCGCAGAAAAAGGAAGAGGCCTGCTTCCCTTGGAAATATCAATGCATTCAACAAAAAGGATCACCTGGATCAAGCGTTAAGGTTCTGTGAAATAGTTAAGGAGGAAACCAGTTTCGAAGATTATCTGATGTTGCTGCGATGCCTTCACGATTACGGCACAGGAAATATAACAATGGTTGATCTGAAGATGAAGATAGCCGATCACTTCCCAAGTTTCATGGATGATTTTGATTGTGTTTTGGAGCTCTATCATGGGAAGATGAATGACGTGGGGAAGAAGAAAGAAGAAGAGATTGATGATGGGAAGATGGATGACGTGCGGAAGAAGAAAGCGGATGAAGAGATTGATGATAGGATATTGACAGAAAGCTATCAGGTTCTTCCGGAAGAAATTGCAAGACTTAGTTGCAAGGGTGCCACTGAACTTGAAAAACAAGTTCTCAACCGTACTTGCTTTTGTAAGGGATCGTACTTCACGGCGCCCGCTGAAAAGAGTATAACTGTATAAGCCCTGCTGAAAAGGAGTTGAACAAAAGAGAAGACAAGTTGTTCATCATGGATATGTGGAAGGCATAGATGCGTTCCACCAGGGAGAATGCAACAAAGCTGGATAGAGCTATAAGGGATGGGGTAATCCAGAATCCGACGGTGATGGATGTGAACAGCTTTTTTCCGGAATACAATTTCAGTTTCATAGCCAAACTGTATGGGAAAGTAGGGTGATCAATGGTGGATCAACTGCGTGATAAGCCTCAAACATTTCTTCCAGTCCTTATCAGGAGGTTGGAGAAGATGGAAATTGAAATCCTTCCACATTGGACTTTACATTACTTAGGGTTTGTCTAATGCTTTATTCTTAAGTTTTGCCTTCTGATTCAACTGTATGTATTGCATGGGGAACTAATTTATGTATTAAATACTTAATATATCCAAACTTCTTTTTTTTTTTCAACATCTCTTATATATGTTTACTAGTCCAAATGCATTTGTGAGTTGTTCCCTTAATACGGAAGTTAAAAGCTTAACAAATGTAAGTGGTAATAGAGAGAAGTTCTGAATCAATGTTTTAGTATGAATGAAATAAGGAGAAGCCCCCATGGGCAAAAAAATCTAAAACAAATAACTTGAGATCAGAAAAAAATAATATTGAATTTGCTAGATTTTAACACTCTTTTGGCTAGCTGCATCATCCTGCAACCATGTATATGTATAAATATATGTTCACTTCTCTTTAAGTTTCTTGGTTATGGCAATGACTACTCCGGCCACTGCCACTGCCACAGTCGAAATTAACACGGCTTTTTTCAGCGTCTGCATGGAGTTTTGCCTTCCCTTTTTCTTTTGTGGTGGCTCAGCTCCTCCCTTCATTTCCAAGTTTGTAATAATCAGAGTTAGCAAGAATTGATGCCAGTTTTGCTTTGACATGAAAAATAATATCTAGACCTTAGGGACTTTGGGAAGCCTTGAATCATGTTTTTAAACTTGATTTTGATTTAACATGGATATTGAAACCCCAGAAAAGTAATCCAAGAAGAATGTTCATTTTCATTTTCGATATATATATATATTTACCTTGATATCTCGGGAAGCATTATTCTCACTTGACAAGGAAACCTCCTTGAAGTCCTTGTCGTGGCCGGGATTCAGCTCGGCGTTAGCACCGGCAGCCGGAAATGTTTCACTATAGGCATCAGAAAATTCATCTTCCATTTTTATTAAATTTCCTTTCAAGTTAACCAGTAAATCTTCCTTTTTGATGGAAAGAACAGGGTAAAGTGAGAAAAGAAACTGATATAATAAGGCTTGAGATTTCATATGAATTTAAAAAAAAGGCAAAGGCACGTGTCAATAACCAAGATCCTTGTAATCAGAGCTTTTGTAGGGTGTTAAACTACTTTCTAATTTGTTCTCAACTGTCCCTGGTTTTTTGTCGGATTTAACTGAAACTGTAATGATAAGGTTAACCATAACAAGTATGATTCTGAACCTTTAATAAAAAAACTAAAAACTTAATTGACACCTCAAATGGTTCAATCTCAATCAAGAACAATGATAACATAGTTTAGATTTCCATGAAAATTGTTTTTGTTCAATATGGATCATATCCGATCTTAAAAATAATTAAAAACATGTGTATATCATCTAATGTTACATTGAAATGTTCAGGATGGTGATGATCACCCATGAATTTCTCACTAATGAACAAAACGCAACAAGTTTTCATAGCTCTTAAGAAAGCTCGGAAACTCGGTTTAATCGAGAAGTAAATAACGAGGGATCCTGAAATTCTTCAGACTCCTAGTTCTTTGCACCAAAACCACGCGGACTTGGCCTTGTCGATGTTGAGTCTGCAAATTGCCTTCTTGATTCTGATTTCCTCTTTCTTCTTGCAGTACCAGGAGGGGCCTTATGCATAGTGAGAAACAACGCAAACATCAATTATTACAGAATAAATCTTGCCTAAAAATCATTTGAATTGTCATACAAGTTCTGTTAGAAATTCATCGATCATAAATGAGCTTATAGTCGCATGAAACTGTCGGAATAAGTATGAATGTACAGTCACCTTTTGTTCAGCTTTCATTGCATCCTCAAGATTGCTCAGTGTTGGAATAGATCCACCCTCCATGATCCCCATCAAGTTCTTCATGCGAACACGCATTTGGAAGAGTTGAGCAACAAGTTGACTCACCTGGTGTTGACAGCAGATAATTACCCCGTCTAGAAGTTGTCGAAATCTTAAAAGCCTACAACTACCAGCAATTCATACCTGCTGCTCTGTTTTACCACAATCTTGAGCAACTCTTTTCCTCCTTTGAGGAGACTCGGCTAATAACTCCGGCTTCTCCCTTTCCTCTGCAAATAAATATGAAAGGTTTAACAGAGACCAATTTCAGAGGAAAAGGGAAAAAAAAAAAAGAAGCAAATCAAGAAAATATGTTTTGAAGTAAGAGCAGGCATATTCAACGATACTTATAAGTTGTTTTCTTAATGCCACCGTATAGCATAGGCATTGGCATCCGATACAACATCGTTAAGTAGATCACCGATCGTATTAGTTGCATTTTCACTTGCATAATATGTAGTGTAATGATTGATGCCAACAAAATCTAATGATCCCTTTAGAAGAGATGACTCGAATTCTGTAAAAGTTGGCAGTCAAGTTCCAATTCGGCTTCTCATCGAGCTCGGATAATCTCCGAAGATCAACACGATAATCATCAATGCTAATTAATAAGTTGCAGAAACAACCTCGTAGAGGCAAAATGTTAGTGTGCCACACTGATTTAAGCCATTTGGAAAAAGCAAGAAGTTCATTGTTAAATAGGCCGGCCAGTCCATGGAAACGTTGTAATGATGTGGTTGCACATAACTCAACCCACCAATATAACGATAAACAGACATGGTCCAGATAAAGTTGTTAGTTTCAAGTGCGTCATCAAGGGACTAGAACAATGTCGCTTTCCATGGATACTCAGTTGTTCGTAGTCTATACCCTCCTATCAGCAGAAACCAAGTAAAAGTATGTACTAGTAAAACACAAGGTAGAGCAATATGGCTTCATTATTTCAGAAAAATGGGATCATGTCTGAAGGTGCAATACCGCTTAATCGTGAAAGAAGCTAGGTCAAGCTTAACCAAAGAAATTTTAAAATAAGAAAGTGATATGTCGGGTTAAGTTTCATCCTTCAAAAGTGCCACGGTAAATGCAGCTAAAATAGACCTGGTGTCATGGCTTCAATCATTGACTCCATTAATTTCAAATTCTTCTCTGCTTCTCGAACTTGGGCTGGGGTTACCTGTTTGGAAACAATTGACTGAGATACACAAGACTACTCTTCTAGCAGTAACAGTAATCTCAACGGACCAAGAAAGAGTAGGAAAGGAAACCCAACTTTCAACATAACAAGAAACAAGAAAGAGTAGGAAAGGAAACCCGACTTTCATACCTTTCCCATGCCAGGAATCATACCAATAACACGAGTCATAGAACCCATCCGAGCAACTGCACGGGTCTGCTTTAGGAAATCATTAAAGTCAAACTTTGCACTCATTATCTTCTTTTGCAACTCTTCAGCATCTTCTTGGCGCATCTGAACAGACATTTTGATTAAAAACTTATCTTGATGTGTTTTACTTAAATAAATATGAGATGAAATTTATTAAAACTCACAACTTCTTGTGCCTTCTCAACAAATGAGAGAACGTCTCCCATTCCCAAGATGCGTCCAGCCATACGATCTGGATAGAAAGGTTCAAGGTCCTCCATGCGCTCTCCACGTCCTACAAGCTTGATTGGCTTCCCAGACACCTATAACATTCCATAATATAGAACAAATATCATTGATCACTACTGCCACTATTTCCAGATGCTTAAATATCAAATATTTTCCCCAAGGAAGAGAGTCTATCACATAAAGTCACACACTCCAAGTGAAGAAAACCAAAGAAAATAGTACGGCAAACCTCTTTAACGCTCAAAGCTGCACCACCTCTAGAATCTCCATCTAGCTTTGTTAAAATGGCACCAGTAATCCCTATCTCAACATTGAATGTTGTGACCAAGGCTGTGAATTCACAAAAGAACATGAAGAGAAGTATGTCATGGTCTTGCCACAGTCATGAGCTTGACAATATCTAAATTAAGCAGGTAAATAGATACACAGATATGGACAATCAATCAAACGTGTCCAAATGATAAAACTCCAAGAATATTTGCAAGTGAATTCTCCAGCATCCAGACATTTTAAGTAGAACATCTAGCCAATCAGCAGCTGCAGGTCTGCTTGAATGAAATGCATGCTCTATATATATAAGTACTGAAATGAACACAATGTATTACTCAGGAAGAAATTCTATCCAATACCTCATGTGTAATATATGTTAAGACTAGGCTTAGACAAGGTCAACAACCTCACCCGGCCCCAGGGTCATCAACCTGGGGTAGACAGGAACAACAACATAACAACACCTAGTTTTGATACAATGCTAAACCAAAACCAACTGCCAATTAGTGGAGAGACCCAAATTTAATATGAAACCACAGGAAAACCAATATTTAACAAACCACAGGATAGCACTGCTTAACAATACATAATATGAAAAACGAAATTTTATAGAACAAAAAACACTCGAGAATGAATGAGATAAAGACAGTGGGATTATTGGAAAAGCAAGTTTGAAGTCTGAGTACCAGCAGCTTCTTGGCCAGTCATTGCATCCACAACCAGCAAAACTTCTGTGGGATTCAGCACTTTCTTCACATCTTTCAACTCATCCATCATTCCTTTATCTATCTGTTCAACACAAGAAAAGAATTTGCATGAACAATTAACCTGAGGATGTTGCATCAGTTAGGTCACTAAAAATGATAGATGCTAATGATACCTGGAGCCGTCCCGCAGTATCCATTATCACTACATCTATCTTCTTCTTTTTGGCCTCTTCTAACCTTGCTTTGCTATTTCAGATGGTTTAACCTCAGTTCCCTCTGTATAAACAGGAACTCCCACCTGTCACAAGCTACAACATATTATGAGAATCTTTTTGGTTGAAGAGAAACAACCTAATGATGGGTAAATATAATTGTGATAGCCAATCAACAATTTAAAAATTAGAAATGGTCAAGAGGCAAAGCAATAAGGAGAAATATGAAACAGGATTGATTACTTGCATTATCTCATCACTCATAAGTCTGGTAATTTTAACTCATTTGAAACCAAAAATAATTCCACTTCAATTGAAAATCATTCAGAAAATGTTTAACAAGATAACCTTTATGCTAGAAAGCGTCTATTATAGCTACTTTTGTTTCTTTTGTTCTGTCATAGTGAATGGTAATCGGTGATATGTGCAAACTAATGACATCTCCAACAAGAAATTTAAGTCTGCATTCCCCCATCTTGGTGCTAAGAGAATGTAAAACAAGGTGTTTTCACCTTACAAGGCAAGAACATCAGGAGATGAAAGTGCCACTATAGACTCTAGAGCTAACAGCAAGCATATTTGACTTAGCAATCAAAATATCTTCTCTGAAATTTTATTGACAATGAAGTCCTATACCTGTTCACCCAGAATAACAAGTTGGTCGATAGCAGCAGGTCTATACACATCTCCAGCAATAAGCATGCAACTCTTACCCTGTAGTCAACATTATGCTCCATTGTCAATTGAGGCTTAACGAAATGCTGAAATTATCTATACGTGATAATACAGATGGAACCTGTTTCTTAAGATAATTAGCTAACTTCGCACAAACGGTTGTCTTCCCAACTCCCTGCAGACCAGCTAATAATATAACAGTGGGGGCAGATTTTGAAAACACCAGTTCAAAAACCTCTCCTCCCATCAATTTCACCAACTCATCATGTACAATCTACAACAAAGGAAGACATATGTGGTTTGTACAAATCAAAACATCAGAAACAATAAAATAGTTCTGGTTTTTTTTAGAAAGAATAAATGCAAGATCCTGCTCAACCAAACATGTTAAGCGAATACATAAAAGCTTTTCTTAGAGAATTACTTAGCAAAGTTCGTTTGGTTGATAGAAAGATCATACCTTAACCAATTGTTGATCTGGTTTCACCCCTCGAATAAGACCAACTCCAACAGCCTGGTCACTTACAGCTTGGACAAACCTTCTAACAACAGGAAGACTCACCTATGGAAAGACACCAAAGTGTTGTTAATACGTTAATTACAAAGTGAAAATTGAAGAAAACCCCCAAGAATTTTCCAGAACCAACTCAGTCACTTACATCTGCTTCCAAAAGAGCTCTCCTAATATCACGCATTGGCTCCACAATATTCTCCTTTGTCAAAACCTCTGAAACACGACAATTTCACCACCCACGTTTGGTTATTAATAAATAAAAAGAAAATCTTTTTTTAATGATTAAAACACTTCTCTCTTATGATCTAGCTTTTGAGAGGGAAAGGGGCAAACCTTCTCCTTTAAGTTTGGTCCAAGCAGCTTCGAGGCCACTCGTCAGCTGACCAAACATTTCAGCTCTCACAACACCTCGCGTTTCTCTCCTAAAAGTAACAGTCTTGGAATTTACCCACCCCCATATCACTCTCTGCAATCCAAACCAAAAAGAGAAAAAAGCTTTAGAAATTGAACGAGCGAAAGGAAGCTTATTTCTTTGCTTTTTTTCTATGCATTTCCTAGAAAACCAAACACAATATAGGTACTTTAAAACTGTCGAGTTCCTTTTACTTACAGTGAAGTAATTCCTGCAAGAAAGGGAAGCGTAATTGCTGGAACAAGTACTCCATGAACTCCCAAGTTTAGTTGAGTTTCTCGGACTGTTGTAGAAGCACCGGTTGGCTGGAAAGGAGCCCGAAGACACCGAGAATTTGCCGGCTGCGACGCTCGAAAGTTTCATGGCTTCCATTGCCCCTACATTTAACTCTTTTTTATCGCTTCTTTCTGATTAGATATAATCCATTATCTTCTTCTTGAATCCCCTGCCACGCGGTTCAACATTTTTATTTTACGCCCGAGTTTAAGTCCAATAGCACAGCATTACGTGTCCATCACTCTCCACGCAGCGTTTTAGTGCTCTTTCTTCTCTCCCCCAACTTATAAACGGTAAAAACGGCATTCGCCGCCGTTTCCTTTTTTTTCTTCTATGACTTGGATTCCATGGAACACTCAGTTAAGAGAGTTGGCAAAGCAATGCCAATACCTTCAAGCTCTGACTCTCTACCGCCAAATGCTGCGTTGCGGTTCCACTCCAAACGCCTTCTCTTTCCCTTTCGCTCTCAAATCCTCCGGTTCCCTTCACCTTCCTTTCTCCGGCCAACAACTCCACTGCCAGGTCATCAAGTCCGGGTGCTCCCCGGAACCCTTTGTTATCACTTCTCTCATCTCAATGTATTGCAAATTCAATTCCCTCGTAAACGCCCGCAAGGTGTTCGATGAAAACCCGATATCGAATCAATTAACGGTTTGCTACAACGCTTTGATTTCCGGGTACGCGTTAAATTCTCGGGTTTTTGATGTTATTGCTTTGTTTAGTAGAATGATGGAAATGGTCTCCCTGTTAATTCAATTACAATGTTGGGTTTGATTCCGGTGCTTTCGGAACCCGGGTACATAAGTTTAGGGATGTCTTTTCATTGTTGTTGTGTGAAGTTAGGGTTTAATCTTGATTTCTCTGTTGCTAATTGTTTACTTACAATGTACGTGAAATGCGGGGACATTGAGTTGGGAAGGAATTTGTTTGATGAAATGCCCGAGAAGGGTTTGATTACTTGGAATGCTATGATTTCAGGGTACGCACAGAATGGGCTCGCGGCTAATGTTTTGGAACTCTATAAGAAATGGAAGGTGCCGGAGTTCGTCCGGATGCTGTTACATTTGTTGGGGTTTTATCATCTTGTGCGCACCTTGGTGCTATTAGTGTTGGCCGTGAGGTTGAACAGCGAATAGAGTCTGGTGGACTCGGTCTTAATCCGTTTTTAAACAATGCCCTGATTAATATGTATGCTAGGTGTGGTAATTTGGTTAAAGCGCAGCTGTTTTTGATTGCATGCCTGTGAAAACTGTGGTTTCATGGACAGCGATTATAGGTGGATATGGAATGCATGGATATGGAGAGACTACGGTGGAGTTATTCGATGGGATGATTAAGAGTGGTATCCAACCTGATGGTCCTGCATTTGTGAGTGTTTTATGTGCATGTAGTCATGCAGGGTTGACTGAAAAAGGCTTGGATTATTTTTCCGAAATGAAGATGAAGCATCGTTTGCAGCCAGGTCCAGAGCATTATTCTTGTATGGTGGATCTTCTAGGTCGGGCTGGTCGCCTAAACGAAGCTTTGGAGCTAATTAAATCAATGCAGGTAAAGCCAGATGGAGCAGTCTGGGAGCCCTTTTGGGTGCCTGCAAAATTCACCGAAATGTAGAGATAGCGGAGCTGGCTTTTGAACGGATTATCGAGTTTGAGCCCACAAACATCGGTTATTATGTTCTGCTATCCAATATTTATTCAGAAGCCGATAATTTGGAGGGAGTATTGAAAGTTAGAGTAATGATGAGAGATCGAAAGCTAAAAAAGGATCCGGGATTTAGCTATCTCGAGTATAAAGGGAGAGTTCATCTTTTCTTAGCCGGAGATAGAAGTCATCCTCAAAAGAGGAGATATATAGAATGGTAGATAACCTGGAAAGTTTGGTGAAGAAACTTGATGACTGCAAAGGCAATGAAGAAAGGAGGAACAAAGAACATTTACTTGGGATGGGTGTTCATAGTGAAAAGTTGGCAATTGTGTTTGGATTGTTGAACTCAGAGCCGGGAACAGAGATTGTTGTGATAAAGAACCTAAGAGTATGTGAAGATTGCCATTTATTTCTCAAGGGTGTCAGTAAGATTGTGGATCGTCAACTTGTTGTTCGAGATGCAACCCGTTTTCACCATTTCAGGGATGGAACATGTTCATGCAAAGACTACTGGTAATACTCACTTTGAGGCTTCCAATGTGCATCCCTGATCCACCATGGAAGGATTTTGTTTTCTGTAAGTTATAGAAAGTATGCAGTATGAAGATCGATTCAGAATCAATGCATTGATTTCTTCTACTCAAGTCTCAAAACAGTAGTTGCGGATAATACAGATTACAACGTCGTCAAATTTTATAATGTTACATTAGTTTCACCATTCCAGTGTATTGCTGCTATTGCTCAATTATGTGACCTAGGTCTATGATTGCGTCGGTTCCGGAGACAAACATCTTCAACGAATGGAACGGTTTTCCAGAGACAGTTTCATCAGTGCATTTGCTTCACGCAAACAAAATGTTGAAGTTTTAGCAAACATGTATTCCACGACCATCTTAAACCAATTATCAGAATCTTACCTCCAGCAATTCTATCCTTTTCTATACAAATGGCACCATGGTGAGAACCAGACACTTCCAGGAGTGCGAATTGCCAATTGTTCGTAGGATTCGTGGGGTCATCAGGTGATTCAACAATTATATCAGATGCTTGTCAACGTGACCGGTGTTAATAAAAAACTCCCGATACAATTCATTCATAAACGTTCAATGATGTCGTTTCTCTATTTATATTCCATATATACCAAGTTGTAAAAACCTCAGAAACTGAACTTCCAGGAGGATGAAAGTCCCGCGTAGTAGTGTTCCTAAATCGAATAGTGAAGGTCTTGAAAGGTACAGCCAAAAAGCCTTTTCCCAATGCTTTTACATATGCCTCCTGGAAATAGGAATCAGATTGCAGAACAATTAGAAAAAGAAAAAGAAAAGCATGTTACATTTGTCATGCTTCAAGACAGAATCAGTATTAGTATCTTGATTACTTTGAGTGTCCATAATTTGATAAACTCCTGACGCTGAACTTCAGGTTCTGATATAGAAGTTAAAACTTTCACTTCGTAAGCCGAAAAATAGCGTCGAGCGAAGGCTATTAAATTGTTTTTTGTCCTTCGTTGCTTCTCTTCGATATCAATGCCAATCTACAATTATTGAAAACAAACAACATCGAGTTTAAGAATGCATAGGAATAGAACTTCAAAACAACAAGCCAAACATACCTATTGTTAAAACCAGATGTATATGAAATCTCATAACAATAATTAAACAACATATAGGACTTACTGGCACATTTACTGTGACACCACAAGCAATCATAGTAGATGTGTGTGAGAGATTAAAATGCAATGGCAGTGGGCCGAAGTTGTCCTCGTTTCGCCACTCCACCTATTTGAATGCGGAACAAAGAACACCTAAGATAAACAAGACCATAAAATGATATTCAACAATATGAATCAGACAGGTATTAAACCAATGCCCTTGAACAAAAAATGATTGCAAATCCAAGATAGATATTACCTCAGGCTTCCCGTACGTATTCTTCCTAAATTTCAAAGATCTGGGATTCATTTGACAATTTGTCTGATCTAGCAATACAAAAACTATGCAAGTGGCCTATGCAAAGCATGTTTTATGACAATAAAAATCTTGAGTCCCCAAGAAATGCTCGCCGAAAAAACGTTTCTTTGCAGATACAAATCTTCACAACGTATTGTTAGCTAGCAATTGGTGGTAAACCACTGAAACAAAGTACACACGATGCTAAAAGATACTCGGAAAATAATGACAAGACTATTGCTTTTGTTTGAAAGTGTGAATCTAGACCGGAACTGTAAGTAATAGCTTGAAACTCCGCATGTCGAAGGGAAAATCAGATCAAGTATTAGGATTATAAATCAGCAATATATTGAACAAAAATGAATAATTTTTTAGTAGTCTGGGGAGATTACAAGACGAGATAGTAACTATTCAGAATTTTCTTAATCATTGGCAATGCACACACATCCTGCAATGCAGCTGTACGAACACAAATCCTTTAGATAGAAGGACATTCCCTTTTACCATTGAGTTCACTCAATGGGTTCAAAATGACCACTTTAACTTCGTAAACTTTAAGAAATTGGTTTGGTTCTGACTAACAAAAAAGCATAGCAGCACCAACCACATGGTAATTTTGCTTGAAGTGTCAATTAACCTTGAAAGACAGAGCAAAATGGTATGGATAAAAATATCATCAGATATATTGATTGTCTTTGATCACTTCATAAAACAGCCTAAGAAAAAGAACAATATGGAAAAACAAGAAAACCTACATCTGGCAATGGTAGTGCGAACCAAGGCTCGAGCAAGAAGAGCTCTTTTCTTTAGTTGGTCTCCACGCATTCGGTTAACACTCTCTATTTCACATGGGGATAAGAGTTCAGAATACTGATTTAAAAGACCCCAACTCTTCACCTCATCAGGCAATATGTACCAAAGATGGGTTTCCCTTGAAACATAAAACAAATGAACAAAAAAGTTTAAAACCAAATAGCATCCATGGTTGTCACCCAAAAAGAAAAGAAAAGAGAAAAATCCATTTCAATTGATTGCGTATATACCTTAAAATGTAAATCAACGAATTAGCAAAAACAAGGGAAGAAGACATTAACTAGGAGACGGAAGCTGCAAGGGAACCAAAGGAGGCAAAGCAGCAGAAAAATTCCGCTGGAAGCATCGTATATTCATCTCCAACCGCTCCTGCAAACACCAAAACTGGAAACTACGAATCAAAATTCACTACTCTGAGAATTAAATCAAAGTACCATCAAGTTTTGGGTTCTTTTTCTTTTCTTTTTTGCAATGAATTGGAATGGCGTTATTGTTAATGAAGAGCAGGTGGGCTGAACCAGATCTTCCTCTTTTGGGCTTACTGTTGTTTATTTTAAATTATATTTGATTTTAATATATAATTTGTCTCTTGATTTTTAAAATAATTATATTTTAAATTTTATTTAAAATAAAAATTTAAATATTTAATTAAAGATGAATTTATACTAAAAATTCAAAAGTTAAATTCTAGATTAAAATGAAAATCGATGATCAAATTGCAGTTTGAAGCTAAAATCAAAGGACCAAATTGCACCAAAAAGAGTTAAGAGAGAAATTGCATATCGAAACTAAAGTCAATGATAAAAAAGATGACAGTCATATATACTTACTTTTTAAGTTAACATCATCATATTTTTTTTAGGGTAAACATAAATTTTGGTTCTTGAACGTAATGTTAAGATTTAATATAGTGTCCAAGTCAGGAGAGTTTAAAATACAATTTATTAATATAATATTAAAAACGACATAAAAGATCGGTTACAACCGAATATGTTATCAAAATCCTAAATTTTTAGGTTGAATAAGTAACATTTTAAATTGAATCGATAATGTTATCTTTCTCCATAATATTTTCGGTTACAACAAAAAAAATTATAAATTTGTATAACTTTTTTTGGTTGTAAACTCTAAAACCACCGTAAGGTAATATTTTTAGATATAATTAAAAATGTTATAAATTTATACAATTTTTTAAGTTGAACATGATAACATTTTAAATTGAAAAACACCTTAAATTAATTATCGCATTCTTTTTTTTTTAAATTAGGTATTTAAACTTGATTTTAAGGTTCAATTTGGTACCTATTAGACCAAAAAAAAATACCCTATACTCTTATTTTAAATAGGTGAAAAGATGTTATCAACTTTGGAAAAGTAACAGTAAGTATGATGAAGAATAGAAAAATGTTGGAATGAGCTGAGGAAGCATTGCAAAGGTAAAAAAAAATCTGCACTCAAAATCAAGCAAAAATTCATACACAATATTTCCAAAGAAAAAACAGAAAAAACCAAAACACAACATACAAACAGTTGGCATAATGTTTAGCATTCACCTCCAAGCTTCGAAAAGCTCTGCTCTCATATTTATCAGGCCAGCAATCCTTGTTCCTTTATTCTTCCTAAAACCTCCTCCTCCTGCATTACCCATTGGTTGTTCATTTGCCTTTTTCATTCCCTTCTTTAGACTCGAAGCACTTGATTGACCAACTCTGCTCTTTCCGATACCGCCTTTTTCGATTCCATTTGCCAAAGAATTCACTTGAGACACTAACGTGCAAGGGCAGTTATTGAGTAGAGATAGGTTTCCACCGCAAGTGTTGTCGATTGAAGTCAGGAAACCTTGAGAGCTACTTTCGGTGGTCAAATTCTCTTTGGCAGAGTGAGGGGGGCTCTCTAAGGAAGGTTCTTCAGCAACAAAAGCTTTCTCTCATTCGCTTTCGTTGTTTACCTTCTCATTGGCATCTTCGAGTAATTGCGAAGAGCTTTGCTGTCCATTCTTATCAGAAGGCTCTAAGCGAGAATCGGGATTAGAGTCTACCATAGAATCTTCTCTTTCTTTAAGTGTTCTAATAATAAGTGTCTTCAGAAGATTCATCACCTGTACTGCATGCATCAATGCAGTTAAATGATCTGACATCTGCAATAAACAGCAGTACTGAATATCCATTGTGACAAGCAGTGTCAAACTGGCTCAAACCTCAGTAACCAATAATTTGCATGAAGTTCGAGTTCAAAATGTGTATTTTAATTAAAACTACCAAAAGATATTTACTCACTTGAGTCATGTTTGGAGCAAACACCGTCGCAACATTACGTGCATTCATCTTGTTCAAATGTTCCACTTGCACAACATCAGCCATTAAATTTATTGCCCAATCCAGTAGAGCAGCTTCGGTTGGAGGAAGGAGCCTTACAAGCAGAGCACACTCCTCTTCTGACTGGGCTTCCATTACCTCCTCTGGAGGAAGAGAATCCAAAACACCACTAGGAAGTTCCCTAAACCAAGCCTGCAAAACCATAAACACCACAACTGAATTGAAAATTCCATTCAACAGGGGAAGTTCTCAACATTATTTGCAGATATCTTGGCAGCATTTTGAGCCCATGAATCAGTTCTTTCAATAGTTTGGTTCATTCTTGATATTTTAATTACTTCAATAAAATAAGCCAGATAAAATACAAGTATAGACCCTATGGATACGATATTCATACAAGAAACATGTTCAATATACTCGAATACAGCCAAAACTATTAAAGAGCAAATAAAATACCTTTATAAGACCAGCCAAGCAATGTACATCTATCCCATCTAGTATAACTCCCCTATTTAGTTGTTCCCTAACATACTCCTCCTGACTGTTCTCAGCATTAATTCTGAAAATTCCTTCAGCCTAAAATATATATATATATATATATAAGAAGATAACTACAAAACTGGATACTTCAAGCAATTATATAACCATTGACCACAGTAGATAAAAGATTGATGGTCATATACCTGGAGGCCTCCTCGGGCATATAAATGACTTTGCATCAGGAGTAGTATCGTTGGCACACTATTCCCTCTAGAGTCCAGCGAGAGCTGCATAGATTCGGTCGAAACTCCGAACACACTCGTGCTGCACAAGAATAGAACCTTAGTCAATGAAATAAAACTGGCACAGCTATGACAAAGACCTTATCAACTCTATGGTCACCAAAACAAGGTGGTCATTTTTATTTCCACACATTCACTGAAATCAATTGAATTCAGCTATAGAATTTGAGTTTGATCTTTGATCTGAGCACCGCACACAATGAAACAAACATAGAATGGACAAAATACCAGTAAGGTTTATTCATCAAAATGATATAAGAAAAAGGTATAGAAACCATCAGCAAGTTAAAAAGAATACAATGAAGAGATAGACTTGAACTTTTGGGGGAAGAAATTTGCATCAAATTGAAGCAAACTGTCTAGTTCTAGCTCAAAGAAACTAATCATCATCTGAAGCTCCTAAAATGGGTGGATTTTTACAACTGTAGTTTAAAGAAAGGGAAAAAATACTAAACCTCGTATTCCTTTTATAAAAATACTAATCCTTTCAAAATCATGAAAGATACCCCATATTGAATTTCAATGATAAATTTCAAGGAAGAAACAAATAAAGAACTTTCATCGATGAACTTGCCTGGCACTCGGTGCTCTTCTGGGGACCTCAGGCTCAAATTCAACCGGCAAGCCAAGGAATCCATGGAACCTATCAAAAGTCACATGAGCAACATGCCTGAAATTGTTAGGCAACCCGATTTCCATTGAACAGAGCTCTTTACTTCCAGAAAGGCTACACCCAATCAACGACTTCCTAAAAGCAGCCACCAAAAGCGTTAATAAATACAGCTGATCCCCTTCCCCTTCTCTGTCCCTTTCTTTCCTCTCTCCCTCTTGCCTATTCTCTCCTCCTTCTTCTTGATCACTCTCTTGGGCTAATATATTCTCCACAGTGCTTATAGCTTGTAAGGGCATGTGTAGTCGAGGTGGAGCTTGAAAATGAAGGGAAATGAGATGGGGATGATTGGAGTACTTCGGTCATAATGTTTTTCCCACCCTTTATTGGGGTCAACAAATTTAGAGCCAAGAAACCAGAAAAAATGGGTTTCTTTGGCGTCTATGTAGAGTTGGATTGAAGCAAAGATTTGGATGGTAGGAAGCAACTATCATCACTTTTTTAGGGTTTATTTCCCTTTGTTATACAATTATCTTGGCTGGCTTAGGCTTTGAGGAGTGAAGAAGCAAAGTGTAAAGATTGGAAATTTAGGGAAAAGGAGAGAGAAGTGGTGGTGGGTGGAGGAGATGGAGCACTCTTCATTTACACTCCCAAAAAGCCCATCATTCAACCAAATGGAGGTTGTTTATCTACAGTAGATTACCTCATGTATCTTCCTCAGCCAATCAAGTGCTGCCATTTAAGCTCTCAGTGAAGGAGTTCTTTTAGCAGCTTGACACATGGTTATGTTCGGCATTAAAGCATGTATGATATGATAAAGACATGCATACTTTAGTTTTAAGTCCTTCAATTCCATAGATTTTTCATAATCTTCTACATATATAAGATCGAATACTGTAAAAGTCATCGAGAAACGTAAAACTTTAACCTGATAGTTTCTAATCCCAACATGATTTTACACGGAAAATTTTGTCTTCACATAAATCTAACAGGTGTAAAAACTATTTTGTCATAATCTTAGTTTAACAAGATCATGTGGATCCCCACCAGTTTCCTAACAAATATATCCAAGAGGCTCAAAACCCTACAAATTTGCCCCCTTTCACTTTGACTTTCTGGTTTACCATTGGTAGGATGAAATCCATTTGTCAGAGTACTTATACGTTAGTATTGTAGAATTGAATTTGATTTTGGCTTACAGTAAACAAAAGTTACTTTTTTTTTTTGTTTTAAGCCCTAAATTATTTTTTTTCAAAATAAATCTTTAAATTATTATATAACCTCTTTAGGTCCTACTATTTTTTTCAGTTAAAAAATTCTTTTTTTGACCAGTGATATGTTTACATGTCACACAAAAGTATGTACTTGTTTTGACCAAAAAATAGTTTAGGGGTTTAAAGCAAAAAAGGGTATTGTTTAAGGACTTATTTTGATCAAAAAATAGTTTAGATACTTAAAATGGTTGCATATAATAGTTCAGTGGCTAAAAGCAAAATAGGATATAGTTTAAGGACTTGTTTTAGTTTAATCCTTTGATTTTTACAGTTCAACTTCATTCGCTATGAGAAGAATTGCTTGTTTGTATGTTGCCTGCCAGGTACCCCTAAAAAGATGATAAAGAAGCAAAGGTTTGGTGAAAAATGTTTTTAAGAAGAATGCACAGAGTATTCTCTAATCATCCTCATATTCGTAAGAATTAGATAGGAAAAAGAAAAACAGAGAAATACAAAGAGGGTAATGATGA